GTGGCGGAGACGATATTCGATCACATTTAAATGCTGTCCCGACGGGTTGAGAGTCCCATCATCAGTTTTCTCACTCACTGGTTATGATTGTGCAGTAACAGTTAATTGGTTGCAGAACTCCTCATTGAAAACTGCCTCCACCAGATCAAAGATACACTGTAACCGTGTTGGTCACAGTAGACACGATTAGCGCCCAACTCAACGGCAAATTATGTCGAAGAGAACTCGCCGTAATGACTTGTTATAAAGATGATATTATCGCGATGACTGGCGGCCACTATTGCATGGAAAAGCTGATGAGAGCCTTACGTGATTAGTCATGAGCATCCTCTCCTTGTTTACCCATCATTAACGATGTGGTCTCCATATGCATCCTAACTCCCCACGATCAACAGTCAGTGTCTATGCTCGAGTGCGACCAGCACCAGTAATCGGTCGTCGTCGGGAGTCCTTGGTGACGTGTGAAGGGGTGAGAGCATCTTCTCCCCCGTCCACATCCTGATAGTAGGACTTCCTTATTTACCCCACAGCCCTACGCGATGAGTGCCGAACTCGTTCACACGTACGCTTCGACCGAGCCTTCGGGCCAGAAAATACCAATGCCGAAGTGTAGAAGCATATTTATGTTCGAATCGGCATCAGTGATCTGCTACAGGTCATCACAACTGCTCTCTCGAATGGACCTCCAAGGCGCCGTGAAGGGTGTTGGTCCGAAGATACTGTTCATGGCTTAGTGAGCACGCATACACCGACTTCGTTGAGATGTGTTTATGTAGCGGACATACTGGCAGCGGCAAAACGCATTCCCTCTTCGGTGGTGACGACTTCACTGAGGACGGTGGACTCGTCGGGGCCTTTTTGGAGATTATCATGGACGAATGTGAACACGGCGAGCTCTCTGTGTCCATCGTAGAAGTTTACAAGGAGAAGGTGAATGCCACCATGGCTTGGGCGGTTGCAATAGTCCTTATAGATTTACGATCTTCTATCGCCCTCTTGCTCTGCTCTTCCACTTCGGTGTGGTAGCGTTGTGGATGCTATCAAGGCCCCTTTGAATAACATCCAGGAGGCGTTAAGGACTATAAACTCTGGTGACCAACGAGATGCATTAGGTCTGTTACACACGAACATGACCACCACGTTTTCCGTTCAGCACACTCTTCGACTTTGTTACAATTGCTACGGAATCTGAGGCTTTCCTTTAGGCCTGGCGAACCGTACGGTCGATCGAAACGCCTCCAATCATCGCAGTAGTCGCTCCCACACCCTCGTCATGTTACATGTCTGCGGTGTACAGCGCATCACCGTCGTTGACTTGGCAGGTCATAATCAGCCCCCGACAGAGTCCTTTCATCACATATCCGTTGCAGGGAGCGAGCGATGGTGTCGCTTTGGTCCCTTATCCCACGATAAACGGCCCGACAGTCGAGAGGAGATGGCCAGTATCAACAAGAGCCTCACGTCACTGTCGTTGTGTGTTATGAATATGACTCAACCTACTGCTGCTAGACCCACCTTCCGAGCAACTACACTCACAAGGTGAAGCTATCCTCCATCATTCAGTGTTGGAACATATGTTCGCTTCCCTTAGCAGGGGTTAGGATTTTACTCACTATATTGGGAAATTCTCGCACAAAAATTTTTCAGAGTTTCCCCAGAATTTTAATCTTATCACCAACACAGTCAGTTGACCTTGCGCGTATTCCCCATACTGTCATCGTTAGTGTCTGTTAGGCTTCTTTCAACATTCTTTGTGGAGCCACCAAGCTGTGTACATGTATTGGTATGTGTAGCAGCTGATGTGGTCGGGAAAAGCTCCTCTATGGCGAGACAGACTCTTCTCACCGGTATCGACCTCTCTGCATCTTCATTTGAGGAATTAGTAGATACTCAGCGATCGGTGCAATTCGCGGCGACTATGAAAAAGACGTTTTCCTTTATACGAAACACTGAGAATCACAGGAAACGGGGAGGATCTGACCACCAGAAGCGATCAGCGGTAAGGATGACAGGTGTGGGATTCGAACCGGCGACCTTCTGTGCATGGTCAGAGCCTTCCACCATGTACATCTAGGGGGTCACCACCGACGAGCGTTTCACGTGGAGAGCATGAAGACTTGAAGAACGCTGTAGCGAGTTTAAAATCGGAACTCGACAGAGTCTGTTTGCCACTGCGTGTTGAATGACTCGTCTCATTGTAGGAAAGAGAAATGCGGCTGAAATTGGAGACGATGATGAAAGTACATTGGAACGCATCGAGTGGTGATGGACATCTCCTGTATCCTTCTCGGACCAGTCCTCAGATATGCCCACCTTTCCGAGATCCTCATCGCCACCGAGTCTCCATTCGGTTTCATCCCGCACGACAGTTTCAGAGAAAATATCAGCCGTCGTGTCATCCCCTGTGAGTTAAATCGGTTGAATATTCGCGGACTGCTTCACTGTTCAGTTGTCTGGGTCTGCCGGGCCCGTAAGCGGTGACAGCCGTGATAGGCCTATAAAGGCCTGCCAGTGGACGACGCCACTCCCCTCTCGACGACGTCATGACTCGTTACGAGTAGTTATGGCGACTTGAATGTCATTGAATGAGCTTCTTAGTCGAGTTCGAATCTTCGAAGAAGGTCCAAGCCTCTGTCTGAATGCACGTCGTCGGCCCCTCTGAGTGCTGGATCCCTCTCCCCACTCACAATCTGCTCACTCGATACTCGATCGGTTGGTTATCAATCGCTCTCACAAGGGTCATCAGGTGGTCGAACCTGGTCATGGTCTTCCACCGCTCCTGCGAGGAAGGGCTCTTCCATCAACGTTATTGGTCAACGCCAACCGAGACGGTTGGGACTCCCCCCTCAAAGTGGAAATAAAATTGGCCAGAGTCGAGCCGAGGGTATCTCTGCGGCGAAGGATAGAACTAAGTCGGGATTGCCATCCTCCAAGGACCTCTCCATGGTGAGGGACGCTCCGTCTTCGTCGTCGGCTATTGTGGAGGTCACAAGCCGGCAACACAGTTCACCGATACACGACGAGTGAGACCTCCTGCGGATACACGGAAGTGATCTTCTTTTCAGTAGCCGGAGTAAACGATGGGATGAGATACTCGAGCGTTGTTGGCGTGCACCGAGGCGTTTGACACCGACGAAGGCTAGCAGGGAACTCGTAAGGGATGAGGAACTGTTGCTGCTATGGACGGTTGATGAATTGTCAGGGAGGATGAGAATACAGGATCGTTCATGCATACTATGAAGCATTTCTATGCTGTCGCTTGTTGTTTTCGAGTGAGGCATTGTGAACAATCTTGAGGGAATACAACACAACCCACTAGCCATACAATCAACTCGCTCACCGCCGTTGTACAAAAAATGTCAACCCTCTGGTGATTGAGCAACCAACGAGTCATACAGTTAGAAACGGGATATGTATATCAAACAGTATTTGGCATGCGGTTAAAAGTAACGTCCAACTCTTCCTTCAAACCATCAGTGATATAAATCTTACGCCCATTCAGAGGTTGAACCTCTCTATGATTGGGAGCGATGATGTCTCCACTAGGGCCAACGATAGACCTTAGCATCTTCATCTGCTCCTCACTAATTGTCATTGTCGTTTTCGTCACATGCCAGAGGAGATTCTCATCCCAAGTTGGTGTAGTGAGGGAACCATCATAACCAAAGAGTTTGATACTTGCATCTTTGGGGATGAGACCATACAAGTCTATAGAATCAACAGTGTTCTCACCGACTTTGACGGCTTTCAGTATTTTTCCAACCTCCTCATTGGCTTCACCAATTCCAAAGAGGACCCCAAGTACGGCCAAGCCACCGGTCTTACCCTTAGCGTCATCTAAAGTGCCGTATTTTTCGTTGTGATGGACGAAGTGCATCTCCATCGGATAGGACATACCGTGGAGTAGATGCTCACTGCCGGCCTCGTCCGTCAACCCCCAGTGAGCGTGGAATTGATCCAAAACGAAAATGTCGCTTTCATGGTCGCGAACGTTACTAATTCTGTATTCCTTTTGATCTCCGGCGATCGCCACTTCCATGCCACGATCGGAAACATTCAAAATTGGTTTATCGACGATGCCATAAGTAAGGTGAAGGTCCCCCAAAGTAATAGAGTGATCAACGGCAGCGCTCTCGAGAGATACCGGTGATTGAGATTTGCCCTTGGTGCCCATACCGGGCCAGGAAGACTGATCATCGTAGGACCAATTTGGGATGATAGTCATAAAGTAGAAAACAACCAAAGCAAACCTGTCAGATTCTTTCATGATGACGTCACATAGGCGTCGATAATGTTATCAGTTCGCCGCCTCGGACTGAACGCAGCGCCATCAAGGTCTCAGGAAATTTCACTTGGATGAGATTGTTGCTACAACCCATCGACCATTCACTGCCGAAATATCTGACTCGCATGAGCATCAACATGGGTACGCGTGCAACACGCAAGCACACGCAAGTGCGAGCGGTGACGTGGAGACAATAAACGATCCAGAGAGTCCTTCTAGATCATCCAAGATTAGTGATTATCATTCATGAGCGCCAATATGATGCACCTCGGCGACCATCACTGCCCCTCTGCACAATTTGTTGGATGAAGTAACTCTTGCAACGTCAAAAATTGTCAAGAAACTATCGCCGTTTTGATGTTCCCAGCGAGTGAATCCTCTTACTAACTTTTGGTCTTATTGCATGTCCGAAGTCGAATGAACACGAATTCAACATCAAGATCATCTAGAACGTCTCAAGTTGATGCGAGTCAGGCAAAGCATGTACGTTTACGAACATATTGTTCCAGTAGAGTTGGTCGGACATAAAGTTGGCTTAGTGGAAATGATTTCTCCATCGAAAAAACAAACCTTACAAATTCTTACATGCTCTTGCTCATCATTGCTACCGAATTTACCGATAAACTCCTATCACAACCGGCAGAACTTGAGCTTCGTAACACTGAAACGCAACTTTCATCTTCTGTCTTCACAAAATGTGCAAAAGTATGGTAAAATGATAGTACAAGGGATGAACTGACGCCCTTCTCCTCAAGACGATGCAACAGTGAGCTCAGCTTCCTCCTCCTTTTTCTTCAGGAGATTGTTTCGATGCAAAGTAGAGAGTTGCTCGTGTTTCAGCAAATGAGCGGCCGACTTGAATTTGCGAGCACACAGATGACAGATGAACTGCGTTGGCTGCTGCACTTGTGTCGGACGGCCGTTTTCTTGGGTCTTAGATGGCGATGAAGATCTCCTTCTCATCGTCTTCTTATTCGGAGTGACTATAATGTCCAAAGCACAAGGATAGTGCAAATCAAAATGACCCCAACGACGACGAAAGGAAAACCGATACACCTCCGAAACAAAGCACGAGTGAACCTCCTAGCGCACCTTCGTCATCACGTTGATTAGAAAGCGATGCATTTTTCCGCTTGGTTGTGGACGGTCGGTCGCCTCTCTCACTCGAGGAATCTCCCTCTGACTCTCGGGAACCGAGAATGCTGCTCATACCTAAGTCGTTGGTCGGCGGTAAGATTTGTGATGACCATGCTTCAATTTAGGGTATAAGCCACACCTTCAGTCGATTCGGCTTGGGGCTGTTGTTCAAGCACCTTCTCATGGTGCATAAAACCACCGTAAACCTGATATCAAAGGCACATAAAGAGCCATAAGGACTGGCCTGAGGCCCTTACGCTAGTGTGACCCTGGAATAAGGAGTGGTTGGCGTACTTCTTAGACCGCACAGTACCGTTAACGTTCATGGTCACACCGGTGCTGGAGCCTGCGAGAACAGAGAGTAATAACATCCTCGGAGACGGCGAAATGAAATGGACCTCGATTGTTGGACAACTTGGCGTCTTTTGGAATGACACCCTCGTCTTCAGAGTCCGATAGACCGAATGCATCGCTCACTCGGAGGGGTTGACGACGAGGCATGATATGGGATAGATTTAGGAGAGCACTAAGCGACACATAATGTATGGGGGAAGTTAATCTAGTACGGAAGTCTTGGGAGGGGACAACTAGCACGCACAAACAGTAATCGATTACGATGGCGTGCGCTTTTTACGTGGCGCAGATCTTGAAGATGCAGGAGCCGAGTATCGGATGAGTTGAGTTCGTTGGTGAGAGACCGATCGCGATTTCTCATGATTGTCATAATGGAGGTTATAGTCGAGGCCATGCTACCGGAAAGGGTCGCTAGCGGGCATGAAACGTATCTTAAAATAGTCGACCTTGGTATCTTGTCCGACCCATAGGTGGGGGAGTCTACCACCTGAATAGGAATCAACTATCTCCTGGGGTAAAGATTCAGATCAGGTCCGAAGCGTGACCACCACTCTTATCTTTCCTCGCTATTCTCGACATAGTAGTTCATTGACGTAAGGATCTTATCTGATGTCGAACCAAGGATCGACTTTGCAGAATTACAACAGCGAGCTTGTTAAGTGCATTGAGGATTTGAGGGAAAAGCGTGAGGAACTAAACCGGCAGATACTCAAGGTGGTCGAAGTGGCGCTGCTGCGGATCGAACCTGTGCGGGTTTCCTTCAGGAGGAAGAGGACAAGGGTAAGATCCAGAAGGAGCTGGCGGTGCTCACGGATCGTCTCCAAAGAATAAACGGTAGGCCCGTGTCTCGTGACCGCGCGCCATTTAATTGCAGAATCCCTCGTTCGTAAGACCCAAGCCCGGAACGAATACGACAAGACCATTCAAGAGACGGAGGCCGCCTATATGAAGATCCTTGAGTCCAGTCAGACGCTACTCCACGTGCTAAAGAGGGAGAGTGTGAACCTAACGAAGAAGAAACAAGTGTCGGATTGATGGTATTTAATTCGTATATGAAAACGCTGCTCACAACATGGTATACTGTGTACTAGCTATCGAATATCTTGAGGTTGACGGTGGAAGATACGGAATAGGTCCAGAACAGATCTTCCTACTTTGTTTCTAATATCTCATGACCATTCCTTCTTCCTCTCCTCCCCGTGTTGGCCTCATCTTGATCGATCATGGTTCGCCATCATCAGCTTGGAACAAGTCCCATGAGGAGCTCCTACCTAAAATAGAGGAGGAGCTGAGTCGGAGAGGGTAGTGCAGTTGATATCAGTTAGCAGTAATATCCTTCCTTCTCAGGCTCAGGTCGATGTTTGATGCGATTCGATGGTGCCACATGGAGTTTGCTCAACCCTCTGTAGCTAAGACCATGAACGGACTAGAAGTGGAAGGTGAAGTCACCGCCGCCTTCCTCGCATTGGTGGTTGTTTGTTCTATTCAGGAATTTCGAGAGTTATAGCGATTCCAGTCTTCGTGTCCGTCAGCTCTCATTCGGAGAGGGACCTCCCAAATATACTCAACATTAGATTCCATCCAGATCAAGTTGGTGTTCGAGAGGAGAGGTCCACTTTGATAAGGATATGTTCAGGATTCGGAAATGGTGCGGTATACCGGTCGTGTGCCGGTGACCTTGTGTACACCCTTGGATCACCAACACAGTCTCCTCCCTAAAGTCATCGCTAAGCAGGTGGTTGACATGATGACGGAAAGCCTCGGTAGGAAGGGCTGTTCGGTCGGTAGCAGAAGAGGGTCCACGTTAGAGCCGACCCGAACGGCAGTGGTGGTCCTATCCCATGGTGATGGATGTGAACACTTTTGGAGGCACCTTCATGAGAGTATCAATGCTCATGTGTTGAAGAGAACATCTGTGAAGTTCTGCGAGGGCTTGTATGTCCAGACGCTTCGCTCACCTAAAGTAGTAGCATGTGTTATGTATACGTTGGTGGGCTGGCGGTAGCGCGCTCGGTTGCGAATCTCGTGGTCGTTGGTTCGATCCCCATGACTA